GTTGGATAAAAAGTAAAGTTGTAACGCGCTGTTGAACGTAAAGTCAAAGTATTTATGTTGAACTGGAGTTTAGTCGGTGTGCTTTCTCTGTTACTGTTGTTGTCTATCTCTTCTTTTCGTTTGCCAGCACCGACTTGCCAACTCTTCAAGCAAGTGTGCAAGAAGCGCGATGAATTACGGTTAACAGTGGAATTTGTGTTTCTTGCTGAAGTGCGCAGTGGCGCGAGGTCCTTTGGAATTCAGCCGCGGCACAATTACAATTAAGAGCGGTTAGCGAATTAAGGAACGTATAGTCGGCACGCGGCATCATGGAGAATTCTGCGTATTGTAAAAGACTGTTGAAACGATAAGAGATCTCGTTGACTTCCTGGTAAGCAATGATTTTCCAACTACTCGTCTACGCTCACTTTATTCTTCTACCATGTACGGGATCAGTAATGAACTCGGAATGATCCGACCACCGTTAATTATTTTTAAGCAATAAAGATTACTCCAATATTTACTGTGACTTTTGGATGTAGGAGAGAGAAGTGGCTAAATTGAATTGCCGGCTCAATTAGACCTCTGCTGTATTTGTTAAATGGTGATGAAATATGTTAAGATGACAGCTAGTGCTATTGCTTCATGGATATAACTTCATTTGATATTTTTACACTAGATTTGCAATCAACTACTTCAAATCACTCTTCACAGACATCAATTTACTCTTAAGAATAATTTATCCAACTTCTAAAATAGTCTTTTTCCACAGACAGGACGAGGCAATAAAAAATTCATCAATGAAATAAATTTCTCATTTATAAAATAAAATATTAAGCTTCGATATCATATAAAAAATTTTCGAATTTTTTTGATAATCACTTGAATTAATTGATCGAATTAAAAAGAATTTATTTGATCAAAAATCGATAAATTTTCTCCAACAATTCCTACACCATGTAAGGTTCGATAAAAAGTCAACTAAGTGATGTAAAACAACGTTGAACATGATGAAAAAACCCAAACAACCGGCCAATGGCTGGCCACCGTCCGCAAGTCAAATAATACCAGGATTAGATAAAATCTCCGGCACAATTTCAAAAAGATCAGAAGTCCGATAATAAGCTCACCTATGTCGCCTTCGCTTTTTCCTTCGTCTCCGTCGGCGTCGTCGCCACTCGATGCTCCCCCTGACAGAGGGGGCAGTTGAAGGAGCCCGCGTCTTCAGGGCCGTTGCTAAGCACTCGTCTGGAGTGTCCTCGACCTTGTCTCCCTGCACCAGGGATCGTTTCTTTGCCTCAACGCTAAACTCCGTTGTGGCTGAAAACTCCTGCGACTCGTGCACCTGTTGTCGCTGCCAAACAACTTGAGTATTCCAAACACTCTTAATACATTATCATCATTATCATCAATGTTCGGTAAAGTCTTCCAGTTAACGTTCTGATGACCACCACCACTGTCACAATTGACAATCACCGCATCAAATTTTTGTGGGTCAGTTTGTTCAATGTCTGATTCAACAGCGACACCATTTGTCCCTACTAGGCGATCACGCTGCTCTAGGGGTGATGTATCCGTCGGTGGCCCATTAAACATTACCCCTTCACTTCCTTCTAGCACTTTTGAACCACGGAAACTTACTATTTTTGATGATTTATCAACACCAATGGTAAGTAATGGCTTTGATTCAAGTTACAAATGATTCTTATCATACCAATTATTAAATCACTTCAATTTTATTGTCCACACTTAATTTTCGTCAAATATTTTTTGTTTTTTCTTTTAATCAAGCACCTTTATTTCATGAAAATGCCAATGAAGATAATAAAAAATAAGCTTGCGATTTGTTTAATGACACATTAATTACAACCTGCTGATTGTTTTCAATAAATTCTGCATCTTAACCACTCCAAGTTCATTTAATTTTTATCCTCCAAGTGTGATAATCAATTTTTTTATCACCACAGTACTTAATAAACTCTCATGGATGATAACTTCCATCGAAAGCTCCAACCCCTTTAACTCAATCAACCCTTGTGTTGGAATGCAATTTTCAACACTTGATTCTTTTGATCAAGTATTTAAATGTTTTTATCAATTACACCAGTCGAGTAATGGAAAAGCTCCAACTTGTTCACATTAAATCAAGTGTCTCATCTAATATTTATACCAATCACTCACAGATGCTTTAGCACTAGGGTGTATTGTCTAGCCTTTTCAATACTTAATTAATACTCTTCATGTGAAGAATTTATGTACGAAATCTATAAATGGAATAGTAATAATAATAAATGATTTTTATCGTAACACTAAATTATCTGATGGATTACTACTTAAAAAAAATAGTCACTTTGTATATATCCTCTCAGGGTGTTTTCTACTATGACTCCAGTCATTCAGGTACTAGATAGGGGTTTGTATTATTAAAGTATCGTATATTTACATTCACTAGATTGTCTTAAAAATGTATAACAATAAACCTGGAGTTATTCACATGATAAATTAGTGCTTTAATCATCAGGATGAATTCCAAACACCACAAAGATCATCTTATGCTGTTACATGCCACTTCTAGAATTGGTCGAACTTTCTCATTGAATAATATGAACTGATAGCAAGGACTGGATGATACAGGACTGAATGGCATCCGTAACACCGATAAGATCCATAGGATACGGAAAAAGAGTTTAAAGCACGCAGACCGCGGTCACGTATCGAATTCAAGAGATGAAACGACTATGATCTGCAAATTCCGTTCTGGCGCTTTCGCAGCCTCCGTGAGGAACCAGAAAGCGCCGCGACGTCCTGCACATGCGTTGAGCTTTACCCACCCTCTCTAGAATGCCAACCAAATCCCCCACCCACCCATTTATCTGAATCCCCCCTTTCTGCTGCTTCCCCCCTGCCGCCCCCATAGAAACACTCGCCACGGTAGCATGGCATTCCCCTTGAAAGCAGAAGACTATTACGCGCCGTCACGCCGTTCCTTTGTGCGCCAACAAAAGCTTTCACTCTCAAATGTCTACACGTTTTAACGTACACATCGAAGCTTGTTGCCACCCCACAGCATTTTCATCAATAATACGTCAATATACCCCTGAGTCGACAGGAAAATGGCCGACGTTTTTTTTTTTTTGCTTTGATACTGAGGTTTTTTTTTAATTGCTATCATACATATTTATACATTGTATTTTTTTCATATTGGAGGTTTATGTTTGTTTCATTTATTTTATAAAAACATTTAGCTTTCAATTGCTACGGTATATTGGACGTTTAATAATAGTAAAGTTAACAAATTCGTATGATGTTTTTTCAAAATGGATGATTTTTATTTGCTGAATGGTTTAATTTTATTCTAAACATGAAAATTTATTTTATTTACGTCAATTATAGTCAACATTGTAGAGCATGAAAATTAAAATATTATAATTAAATAAACAATGTTCAAGAAATTATTTATTATCTATTTTTTTTTTTAATTAAAACGATTATGAATTAAATAAAAATTGAAAATAATAGCATTTGCTTTTTAATTAAGCAACAAAATTTCCAAATGTCGAATACGTTAGAATTATTATCAAAACAATTTGTGAGATTTAAAAAAAAAAGGCAATGAAATTTTTTATTTAGTATTAGAAGCATGAAAGCTCATATTGAAGTGAAGGTTGCACATTAATTTACAAAAGTCACTCAAGATATCTTCGATATCCTAGAAGGATCATCTGAAGACGCGTGAACAGGAAAAAGAATCGAAACAAATCGAGTACGAGAGTTAAACCTGAGAGAAACGTGCTCAGCGTACGTCGATTCGGAGTAAAATTGCAGCAAAATCCAGAGTCCGTCCACGCGCGTGGAACTGCTGATGGATTCGATCGTCAATCCTTCGTTGAATGTCGTAAAGCTATCAGCCGGTTTCGTACAGCAGTCCTGAGAGGAAATCGTGGATGAGTTTCTCTTTCTCATTGCCGTCTTTTACATGACACGTTCATCGTCCTCAACTTGGAAAGAGCAGCCATATATCTAACCTAACGTGATGGGTACACGTTTGGAGCCAACGTTTTATAAATAGACGTCACCAACATATACTTCTCCTACCATATTTTCTAATGCATGCGCGTCAATAAATATTAGCTTTTCATTCATTTATGTACACTATATATTTTGCTATTGACATAATTATGGTTTAAATGATGTAAATTTCTGATTCTCCTTTAATGTCAGAGTCAGTAATAATTATCAAGAAATCTAAACTCCACCCTACTTCTATAATTTATTTGTTGACTAAAAATAAATCAATACTATCTCGGCTGGAGAAAATTAAGAAAACAAACAGTTTCAACAGATTGACTAGTTATAGTATCATAAGAGATTACTACTAAAATAATTTATTATGAGATGTTCAGTGGTAAGGAAGATATAAGACTTCTTAATGGGGTGATAATTACGAGAAAATCACCATCATTTGATTTTATCATAAATAATTATATTAAATTTATTAAACTGTTGAACGTTTTTTTTTTTATGAATCAAAACAATTAAAGAAATAATTGGAATAATAATTAAAATCTAAACAAATAAATAAGATAATTAAGTAGAGTAATTAAATGTTTACAAAATTTCTAATTAAAATAAAGTAATTAAAAATTATTTATTTATTAATTTAATTTTTTTCTTATGATTTTAAAAATTAATTTCATAAATAAAACATTTAGATTTCATAGTATCTTTTCCAATTTTAATTATTAATAATAACTCTGATTAATTTTCAAAAAATCATTAATAAAAATTAATTAATATTTATATAAATATTTTTTTATATCACTTATTAACTTGACTATAGACTTTTAACAACAATTTAATAAATATTTAATTTAATTAAACAACTATTTTAATGTTTTTCGATTATTAAATTAAAATAGCAAGAATATTTTACAGAGAAACGTTTGTACACTATTTAACTCTAATTATTATTTAAATTAATTATTAACTTTTTGTTGTAATTTTTTTTTTCACGTACTCACCGTAGCGTGAAAATATCGTCGCGGATATTTACAAAGGCTTTCGAGGATTCTTACCTGTAACAAAAAATAGCAATCGTTTAATTTAATCATCTTACAATCTTAACTTAAATCGTACGTTATACGATAATTAATAGAATGTTTTTTATACCACAGAAAGATTTATGTGATTATTTAATGATGAAAATACTCTCTGTTTAGCAGTGAACAGACGCGTGAAATCGTAGTTATACGCACGCAGATACGATAAAGTACATAGTAACTAGATACCAACTTATACTCTCTTGGCTTTATAAATATTAATTCACCGGCATCACTTGTTCTTTGTAATTTCCTCGCTACTGGTGTTATGCTCTACATTTTACAGTCATCTAGTGCAGAGACCCATGCATCTCTACCAATTTACATTTCTCAGTATACTCGAAGAGACAATTTTCAACAAAAACATTCATTTACTTTATAAAATAATTTCAACTTCATAAAATAAAAATTTAAGGAAAATTAAATTAAAAACTTGCGTCGAGTACATAATGTTTGGTTAGTATTGCGTGACATTGAGTCGTTGTTTTTTCTAATTTGGTGACGATATTTATCTCTTTAACTTGTTTCAAGAGGAAATAAAAAATTGAGAGAAAGGCAAAAAAAAAGGGAAATAAAGGTATGAGAATAAAGGTAAATAATGACACTATAAAGACACTTTATTCTTTCAGTAGTGCAATCGTAAACTATACAACGGAAATATAGTGAAGTCAGGGAAACAGACAACGAGCAGCAGGCGTGAAACAAAGACGGAAGCAGCCCGTGTAATTAAACTTCTTTAAAACAAGGATATTTTACTCGAGTGTCTTATTTCTTATTTTATTGCATAAATATTCTTTTATATGTATTTTTTCTTGTTCAGTCAAGGTTTACATGGGGAAAAAATATGTCTTATTAAGAAATAATAGAATTGTTTTTTTCTTCTAATAATACTTTTCCTAATTATGTATTTATTTAAAGCGAGTATTAATCACTTTGTTTTTCTTTTAAAAACAAGAGAAATTAATTTGAATAATGATTTTTTATTAATTCATCAGATAAAAATTCTTATTTATCTTTTAAACGTTGTAGAATACAAGATAGAGATGTGTTTATTCTTATAATTAATCCTGCAATTTTTCTTCGGAGCTTTATCATCATTTCCATCGTCAGTTTGATATTCAAGGCCATCTAATAACAATAATTAAAATAAATCCTCTTCTTACAATAGCTAATATAACATCCTATAATTCCAGGTACAATCGCAATAATAGTGCTTGTATACATGCAAACATCGAGTATGTGAAAAGCTCCTTGTAAAAGCTTTGATTTATTTCATTCACATAATGAATATTTTATGATTTTAGTGGATATTCAGTGGATATATTCATTCACTAGAAGATTTTACAGTTAAAATAATAGATGTTGATAAAACAAAAGTTTAAAAAAAATGATTGTTAGTAACAATAAAAAAATTTTTGTCATGGTAAAAAGTGTAATTATTGAAACTGGTGGTTAATTTACTTTTAGATGAATCAAAAACGATGAGCATCACTGAGTTAAATTTCGTTTAAACTCACTCAGCTGTATCGTTCTGAGACGCACATTCGAATTCCATTATTTTGAAACGTGAATCAGTTTAAACCGCAAAACCATTTTCATTCCCCAGTTGTGTTTGGTGATTTTTATTTTTTTCGTATTATTACTAAGTGTTGATGTTCTTTCGAGTGTGTGAAGTACAAGTCTTCTTTCAAGATAATTTTTAATTAAATTCGTGTCAACAAAGCTACGCCTGAACTTATGATAAATAAAAAAAAATATGAATGGATTCTTTGAAATGATCTAGATATAATAAAGTTTTTTTTTATTCTATCCTCTCATAACTTATTTCTCCGTGCTAAGTAACATGGGAGGTGAATAGTCACGATTAAAATATACTCTGAGGGGAAACTTGAACGAAAGCTTAAGTTTTGAATACGAAAAGTTGCTTTGAGGATCGAAAGATTGGCTGAATTATACATACAGCATGCAGATGATTGCTATGCTGAATAATTTAAATCAAAATATTTATTTCACAATTTTTTTTTAATAACTAAAATATTTTTTTGCAATAATTTCAGATTAATTGATATGAAAAGAATTATTTATTAAAATTTTTCTTGAGAAATTATAAAGTTTTCTTATAAGAAATTTAATTTTTATTTTCAATAAAATTATTTATCTTCAAATGATCAAAAATATGTCTTAAATCAATATAATTTTTCTTTGAATTCATTTAATAATATATGCCCACTACTTAGAAAAATATTTTATTTATTAGTATTTGTTTCTTCTGTGCAAAATAAAAATTCCCTCACTGCCTTTTTTTCAAATAAAAATCTCGTTTAGTTTGGAGTAAAAAAAAAGTTGTATTTAATTAATGTCAACGTTGATTAAATGCAGTATTTTAATTATTCCCAAATATTTGTGAAAATTCTAAATAGACTGAAAAATATTTACACAAGCAAAACGATAAATACCCTCTAAAAAAGTGATTGACCGCAAAGTCTACTAATCAAAACCTAAAGTCCGTTAACTTAAAGTCTAGCCTAACAGTATAACCGTATAGCAGAAATTCAGTTGTAGTGGCAAACTCTCTGCATGGATAGCCGCACGGGAGTTACGCTAGGTTCAGAGAGAAGTGGTAGAGACGAAGGCAGAGCTGGCGGTGAAGCTGGGGAAGTTTCGCTTGAGAGCATGACGGGGGTGAAACGAAGGGTAGTGTGCCATGGCGCGGGGAAGTGGGTCGAAAGGAGGATTTCCTGGCGGTATACGAAGTGAACGACGAGGGAGAGAAGGAGAATGAGTGAGAGAAGACGAGAGAGTGAAATGCAACCAAAAAGGTGAGGGACTGAGCCAGACTCGGAGCGATGGCAGAGTATTGATTTAGTGGGCTGCGCCGTCTCCTTCTATTTATCTCCTCGTTCATTCTACATCTCATACGTCTCCGTATCTTCCTTCAGCAATGGTGCGAGCACAGTATTTTTCGGTAAAAGCGTTGACGTTTAGCATGGTGTTTACTCTACTATTTCATATTGCAGATAAATCTACGAGAAATTATTTTAACTCTGACATTGCAACAATGACTTTTTTATGTGTCATGAAAAATATATGACGCTATGACTTTAGTTAATAGATAATCATAGTTTAATTAAATTTGCAGGAAAGAACATTTTTTTTTTTTCATGTAATTGAAGTTAAGTCGCTATTAATTTGTCAATCTAAAAATGATTATGGTAATGTGGAATATTTTTAAAGGTCATGAAACACTTAAATAAATTTTATGAGTTATTTCAATCTAATGTTAAACAAATAATAAGATATCAAGATAAAATATTATCTATTAACATAACATATTTCATTGTAATTGATCACAATAAAAAAAAATGTCCATTTCTATTCGTACTAATATTATTAATTGAATATTAAAATATTTGAATTATAAATTTAATAATTAAATTTAAACTTTGAAGTATACTTCAATTGTTATAAACTTTTAGTAAATCTTAATGTTAAAATAATTGATCAACAAATATATTCATACAATACTTTTGTTTCGTTCGTAATAAAGTCAATAGCTATGAATTTTCATGGCGTGTAATACCATGGAGATCTTGTGCATGCATTATCAGTCATAAGTGACATTTCCAGATCACGAAGGGTGGGGTTTTATAATAAGTACAATTTTTATGAGTTACAAGGTCAAATAGATTAGGTCATTTGTAACGAACAATCTACCTTGTGATTGATCAGGTGTAACCCAGAATATGTAAATGTGTAATATGTAAAACTGTCGTCGGTTGTCATAAATAACAGTTAATCATACAAAAAATATTGCTAAATACTTGATAAGTTATCTACGCATGACAATAAACATAATTTCCGGTAAAATATGACAAGATGTTTTTCCATTAATTATTTTGTTTTTTTTTTCTTAATTATAAAATTTTACTTAGTAGTTATAAATAACTGTGTCTACTATGTAAACTAATTTCGATAGGTATTAGATAATTTTTTTTCTCGATAAATAAAAATACTAACTGCAAATATAAATTGCGTAACTAGTAAACAGACTCTTTTAAAATCATTTGCGTTCTAAAGTAAGTGTTTAATAATTTCAACAATGCAATAATATTAGATAACATTGTATAACATTTTTATTGATTATTTTTTATCATACATAATTCATTAAAGTCTTTAATAATAAAAAAAAAAATAACTATTTAAAACTCAGAAACATTTTAATTATTATTTATTACTCCGATAGACAAATTAATTAAAAATCATAAAAGGCTGTGGTATTCAATTAATTAATTTCACAAAGCGTCTTCATTAAAGTAATAAAAAAATTAGCACTCGCACGATCATAACAGCTTTCACTTTATCGATTAAAAACAATAATTAAGCTCACAAATTTTTCAACAGCTCCAAGATATTAAATCCCTCCATACTTAGCGACGAAGAAGCGAAAGCTAGTCATTTAGATATTGAATGAATTATAAATATCTTGCCGATTCAATTAAGCGACATAAGTAAATTGAAAATAAAAACGTAATGAAATACGTGTAAAATAATTAATTACTCTTCACTTACTACATATCCCTGGAAACAGTAAGAGGACGCGGACCGACCAGATACAATCTCCATACAGTTAAGAGGTGTTTACAACTCCGACAGTGAATCTGTGGGTAAGTGGGATAGAAGATGGCAGTAAATATTCCTCGGGTGGTATTCCGTACGGTCGTTCACTGCTCTCATCCGTTCTTTGTCTCTTTTTCATTCTCTCGCGATACCACGCATTTTCTTTCTCTCTTTCGTGTTAAATACGCCACTATCACATACCTATCAACCCTTTCGTGAATGGGGATGAATCTTTGACTCGCGGAATTCCAATTTACGTTTTTTAACTCTGTTATATGCTCCTTATCAGCATTCATCGTTATTCAGTTATCACGAGCATCATTATTTTATAACATTCATCACTTTCTTTTAAAACTTGA